TTTGTATGATTATAAAATATTTCAAGGCCAGCTAACCAGATTGCTAGGTGGAGGACATTTTAAAGGGGTTTTGATGACATTTTAAAGGAGGGTTTGTGCTTTTCATGATTTTTTCATACATAATAATAATAATAATAATAATAATAATAATACACTTTATTTATTTTTCCACCCTTCTCCCCTAGGAGACTCATAGCGGATTTACAGTATTTACATAGGCAAACATTCAATGCCTTTGCAACAGTGGTTCCCAACCTTTTTTTGACCAGGGACTACTTTGATAGGGAACACTTGACCAGGGACTACTTTGACCAGGGACCACTCTCCAACATTAGTAACAAAAGGGTTATGAATCAGTTTTTGGTCAACTTTAGATTTGGTTTGTTTATTTGGGGTGCTGATTCAGAAAATTGCACTAGAGCTGATGTGGTCTATCCAATGCAATTTTCTGAATCAGCACCCCAAATAACCCCAGAAACAGGCCTAAAAACAAAGACACCAACTGGCCTGCACTTCCAGGCGCTACATGGAATGCCTCCGCTCAAGGGGAGGGAGGAGGAGAAGCAGCAGTCAGGAGGTGTGCTGTCATGCCTTTTGTGGGAAGTCAGCCTCTCTCCTCCCAACACCCCCATTACCTCGGCACTTTAAGAGGATTTCGCAAGACCAGTTGCTCTCGTTGCAACAGTGTAGTAACAGTGAGGCCAGTGGCCATATTTTAGTTCTTGCAGACCACTGGTAGTTCACGGACCACAGGTTGGGAACCATTACTTTACTATCATATACAATGAGACGCACAAACAAAGGAAAGCAAATGTAGGATATTGAGGTATTTCTTAATTGCACCCATCATCTCATGTCATCTGTTATTTCAGAGCAGTATGCTGTACTTTGAGGTGGGTAGGTAGAAATAGTTGTCCTAGTCTACAAAAAGAATTGTGAGATAGTTGTCTTGCTAGCTTGTATTGGGATGGAGGACTGGGGATAGAAATCCCATGCAACTGTGGCTGAAGTACAAACTTGTAGAAATCTCAGGTTTCCCTCTTCTGCCTTTGGGTTATATCCAATGAATCTAGGTTTAGCACAAAAGTGGGTCACTGGAAAGACTCTCCCAAAAATGAATACTACACAGACTGTCCATAGAAAAGGACATATATGTGTACATGACATACAATGAACAAATTAGCAAAACCTAATAGAAGAGAAAATGGTAGGGACAGCTAGTATTGCTGCTGTCCTTCAAGGAAGAGCACAATAAACCTTTTTATTCAGACAGGTTTTTAAAGATGAAGGTTTTTAAGTTCAAGTCAGAGAGTGCTGTGGTTTTTAACTCTGAATATGTTTTAAAGAATTTTAACTATGAATTTTTAAAATGTTTATATTCTGTTTTAATGTTTGCATATTTGTATATTTAAAATTGTATTCTAATGCTTTTATGTTATGCCGCTTTGAGTTTCCTTCAAGAGAGAAAAAGTGGAGCATAAATAAATATAATATTATAATTATTATAATAATAATCTCACAAAAAGCCTTTCCTGTTCTTATTTTTACAAAACTCCTTTATGTCATCTTCTGCCAACTGGAGAAATTACATTTTCTTTGAGCCTGGAAAATAACATGGGGCCTTTTTTTATCTGTTTCACTCAGTCATCTTGCATTCTTCTGTCATTCCTTTTGTATCTTGATGTTTACAATATATTTTTAAAAGAGTAATATTTGCTGGTGTGGCTTTAGTCAAAACATTTTATTTGTTGTTTTCATGCTGAAAAAAGCATGATCCAAATGTCCCAAATGCATTTATGTTTCACTGGCTTTTTAAAAAAAGAAAGTTTTAAAGAGCCTTATGACTTTGAAATGAATCCAAAGGTAATGGAATAAGAAGGAAATGGCTTGTAGGCCGCATCTGTCACAATGAGGTTTATTTAAAAAGTCACTGTGGTCTTCTATTAATCTTGAAATAATCATTTAATTCCCTCTTCTTAAAGGATTTGCCTTCCTTTTTCAGTCACTGGTTTTCTTTGCTATAGTTTTCTTTTGTGTTTCTTCATTATCCAATCCATGTTCCAAAAGAGTCATATCTCAATTTTTAATTGCTTTTTCTCCACCTTCTCTATATTAATCAGGCTACTTAGGTCATTATCTTCTCTCTTCAGACATTTTTGAGCCAATTTATTGGCCATTTTAGTAGAGACAATTTCCCCCCAAGCATCAGGTATAGGTCTATACAAAATTACTTCATAGACCCAAGCTAAATCTTCAGTTTAATTACCACATTGCTTCTTCAACCAAAGCTGTTGTCCCTTTGGATTCTTTACGTGTAATATCATTAAGTCCTGACATTGAATCTGAACAAATTAAAATCCACTCGGGCCAAGGATCTGCTGCTCCGTGTGCCATGTTAATTGCAATAAATCGAGTAGTTTGAGTTATCAAGGGTATATTCAATTGGACAGATTTTCTTTTCCCATTATAAATATAGTTCCATCAAGAGCCCTGTGTGATAGTGGTAGTCATTATAATACATGGAAATGGGATGGCAAACTGTTTTTTGCTCTCAGATGGATGTGATGCACAAAATCTCATATCCCATAGGTGAAAGGCTTATACAGACCTCAACTAGCTCCTTCGGTTAGAATAAAGCAACATATCTTTGTGCAAGGAGACAGGGTGGAATGGATGGAAGGGACAGACAGCCATTTAAACGGTTGAAAAAGTAACCCCACAACATCTGGAAGCATTATTTATGACCCAAGAGTGATTATTTCTATGTGAGCACCATAACAGATTATTTTTGTATGACAGCACTGTACATTGTAGTCATAACATTTGTTTTTTAAAAAGCCACTTAATTGAGTCTAATCACAGCCACTCCAGCCTTCCAAAGATATTTGTGAACTTTTGTTACAGTTTATCCATTTGACTGTGAAGCCACTACTGGGTGTGCAGCTTGCAAAATACCTTGTGCCATTTAAATCAGAAAACAAGAAGTGATGGGTGTTTATTATTTTTGAGCCCCACACATGCCTATGCCACTTCATGAGTATGCAAACAGCCTATGGAACTCTAGGAGAATAATGCTATTTTGTAAGCATGATGTCTACAGGGCTATGACTTTATGTCTGTAATTATATTTTGAGTGCATTCTAAAGTATGCAGTATCATAAACACAGGCAGAAGAGCAACTCAAACATAAGCCAGCAAAGAAATATCCATGTCCATATGCTTGGTTAACAGCTAATAGTCAATCACCAGCTGTGTCAATGAGTACTGATGGTAGAAGATAGCAGATGTTTCTTCAGTAACCATTAATTGGCAACTGAAGTAAGGCACATTCCAATGTTTAGTTGGAGGGGAAAACATACTTGAAGAGCTGCACTGAGATAAATATAATAGGAGTTTGCAGCTGGCTAGAAGAAATAGACTTGGTATGAGTTCCAAGCCTTATTGACTTAGGTGTGTATCTTTCTCCCTTGATTTTATCAGTTTCATCTTGCAAATTTCATGACTTCAGCATAGCAGCATTCTTCTCTTCTCTACCTCCAACACACCAGCTTTTAAAAACATCTTGTTTGATGTAGAAATCTCAAAAGCTTGTATGTAATTTTCTGTTATGTTTTATTTGTACATCAGGGGAAGCCAATAGTATCCCGGGAGGATTCATTTCACCCCAGAGTCTGTAGTTCCCCTGATACCTGACTGGCATCTACTGATGCCTGATTGACATCTACTCCATTTCAAAATGCTGATAACAAAGATCATGGCTTCAACATCAAGCCAACTTTACTCTTATCTTTCTTCTTTCCCCATGAATACGTTCTCTACTATAGAGGTGGGAATCATGCAGCCCTATAGATCTTGTTGGACTTCATCCACAAAAACCATAGCCAATGGTGAGGAATACTGGGAGATGCTATTCAGCAACATCTAGGGATGCACGCAGTTCCTACTCATTCAATACCTTGACTGATGAAATAAGTAGAGCTGGCCCACAGTCCTGCCTGACTTTGGATTTTGCATCATTTTCTACTATTTTTCTTAATGTGCCCTGTACACTCACTTCTCCAACGCCATATACACAAAATATATAAAACACAAAGAATGCAAAAGAAGGCTTGTGGTGCTCAGAAAGCAATGTGGGGGGAAAGTGTCATATAACAAGCACAATATTCTCAAGGTGCCTTATTTATTTTTTTTGCTATCTTGTAAGACAATGGCTCTTTTGCCTGCATTTGTAATGTTTATAACTTAGCTGATGAATTCCAAATTGTATCATGGCCAATTTGCCCATCTTTGTTCAAAACAGAGTTTTTCTTTCACTTGTGAGAAAATGTTAACAGACCTTAATGGCCTGTCTTTGGAAATAGTCCCTCTGTTAGGAAAGATGCTGATTTTCCAGCATCCCAGGATTGCATTTCAGCGTTTTCTTTAGAGGGCTGTACTTCCCTCTTAGTTGTCTCTCGAAAAGATCTCTTTAACCTTTCATTAAATGTGCTGACAGCTGGTATCAGTTCCTCATGAATTAGTTCAGTGCATTTCCATTTAAATATATCCCAACAGAATTCATTAGAGTTCTGTGCAGGTTCCTGTCCCCTGATTTCCTTTGGAAATTCAAACATGAGCCAGAGTAAATAATTGGAAATGTGATGTGGAGAACAAGGCAGAAAGCAGGATTGCTAAGGTGCCTGACTTGCTTTTGATTTGCAAGGTCTCAACAAGGCTGATTGGCTCCAATTGAGTTTGCTATTAAATCTGTTTTAGTAATATGTACATATGACACCCTGTAATGTTTGGAGTGATGAAGTCAGAAAAAAATGAGTGTGTCTTGTTTGACTCCCATCCTGTCCATTTTTATGTAAATGGGGTTTACCCCATGAATTACCTTTACAAAGGCATTATATATTCTTCTTTCGTTTGCTTCTAAAACCATACTGCAGCTATTTCCCCATTTTTAGTATATCTAAGTGAAAAATCAAAAAAAAGAAATTGTTGCAACTACAACATGGTTGTTTTCCTTTCTTCATGACTAGGACTCATAATATTTAATCATTTTACCCTTGCATCCAAAAACAAATAATTTATGCAGTTTTTCCCCACAGCAGAAGAAAAATAATATTTGTGAAGTTTTTGTCCAGTATTCAAACATTCTCAAATGTTTCCAGAAACAATTCTGTGCAGAAATGCATGTCAGTTTTTTGCAAGAAAATCACTAAGGATTGTGTGTGTGTGTGGGGGGGGGGGTCATGCCAAACAAAACCCCAAAGATTTTCCAGGAAAATACACAGGGTTAGTAGGTTATATAAAATTTTATAAAAACCTGGCTAGTTTGCACCAAAACAATATCATGCATATATTGGTTTTTGATCACTGTTGTCATGTGTGTTTTATTGATTTGTTTTCATGTTTAGTTAAGATAAATTATCATTTTGGTTATCTGCATTTAATTTATTATGCATGTGTATTTTCACTGTATGGCATCGAATGGCTGCCATTTATGCTGTAAACCGCCCCAAGTCCCATGGGGAGATGGGACAAGATATAAATAAAGTTGACTTCACTTGACTTGGAAATGGATTTTCCAACTACAAAGAAGACAGGGATTTGTGTATGTGTTGTGAATACTTCACAAAGTAGTCCCCTTTTGAAATTGGGAGTGACGACATCCAGCACTAATGGAGAAAGATCTTCAACATGCAAATTTTGTTCAAAAGCATGATTAATTCCTAGGATACAGACTCCACAAAGCACACATTACATTGCTCTACAAACCATTACACTTATGGAATTAAATTGCTTTGGAGCATTGGAACAATTCTTTTGCTTTAGATATTAACCACTAGCGTGATTTAAAAATCTTACTTGGACCAAAGAGTGCAGGATTGAAGCAAGAAAGTGATGGTGTATACATATGAAGAATAACTGCTACCTTAGCAATATGATTGGGAACAATGGAAATAACAACACCCCCACCCCTCAAAGCCTACTTGGAAATATATCAATGTGAATCTCTAGGTGGTATAATTTGTATCATTGGGAGTACAGTTGCGAAAAGCAAACCATGAAGTAGCGAGGGAACACTGTACTGCTAATATCACAATAAGTATTGATGGTTAGAAGCAAAACTAGCCTAACTAGTTTGCTGCCTGAGGCAGAACAGAATGATCTCCCCCTCCCTTCCACTCAAGATTTATAGTGGCAAAAGCCAGCTACATGATGCTTAGGGGAAGCAAAATTTCCATAAACACCAATCCACCAGTATTCAAAATAAAATGAGAGGAAAATCACTCACACTTGATGCAGTTTGTGTCATTCAAAATCTGATGCCATTAGTGGTTACATCCCTCTGCCTAATGGTAGGGCTAGCCCCATTTACAGCTTATTTTCATGTCAGTAATACCTTCAGCAAAAGATGCAGTAATTGCACATTCTTTGCCTAGAATGCTTAAAGACGGAGGTGAAAGCAGAAAAAAAGAATTCAAATGGTGACAAATCTAAATGGTTAGTCATTAAGTAGGAAGCAATAAACCCCAGGCATCATTTGCAGACTATATTATTAAGGGGTTTTTTTCTATTGAAATGCTTCTTTTCTCAGATGTTGTATTTGTGTAGCTAGAGCCGATTGCTACAGGGGGAAAAGTCCATTCTCTCCTTCTGTTCCACTAAATGTTTGCTCAGGTTCTTCTTCCTGTTTGTTCAAGCTGAAAGGACAAATGTACATTTTTCAATGATTGAAGTAAATAAAGGAACAGCTATTTTGTTCCGTTTTGTTTTGCAGCACAAGATATTGTAGTGCCTTCCTATAAAACAATAGCTAATGTGAATAATGATTGCAAGAAATGAAACCTGTCTATATACAATCCATGGGCCCTTTCACATTGAATCATGTTCAGTGTTTCCATTTTAACTGCCCTAGATGCATCCTATGAAACCTGGTATGATTTGGGGAGGCAGTAAAGGAGGTCTCTGGCTGAAGGTTCCAAATGAAAATTCCAGCAAAATTGTCAGAGAAATACAAATCCCAAGACTCCATAAGATGATGTCATGACAATTAAGGTGGGGTCCTAGTGCTGAAATTAGGTAGCATGACAACGTCCAAGTATTACAACTCTAGATGTCGCCCCTAAAATATACACCTAAAGGACTGTAAATTAATCTCTCCAGGACATTCTGAGCAGGAAAAAACCCATCATCATTAGATATAGTACAGTTGGCCCTCCACATTTGCAGGTTCCACTTTTGCAGATTTGATCATTCATGGATTTGATTAATATATTCTTTCTAGGAATCTCTAGGTCCTCCTATGTGACTCTATCATCAACACCTGTCATAGAGTTACACTGGAGTACCTAGACATTCCTAGAGAAAACATTTTTCTAGGCATTTGTAGGTCCTCCAGCATGATTCTATAGCCAACCTCCAGCAGAAATTGACCATACAGTTTCACTGGAAGTCCTAGAGATCCTTGGAGAAGTGTTCTCTCAATTTTTTTAAAAAAACTTTTATGAGGGTCCTGCACTCCTAACCCCATCAAATTTGTATAGCTGACTACAGTAACTAAGAGGTCAATATTAAGGGTCGAATTATGAGGTCCAGAGCAAGACATGGGGTAATAGCCCTCCCTCTAGGGAAAGGGAATGTATTATATTTTCCTATGCTGCTTGTTGTTGTTGTTGTTGTTGTTGTTCGTACCATTTTTTCCCCTCAGGTTTGAGACCCAAAGTAGCTCATAACTTTAAAAACTATTCAATTAAAATTATACCAAAGATATTTAGAATGCCAACACCGAGCAGGAGGCCACATTCCCAGGACATGCACTTTGAAGCACTTTCTCTCTTGGATGGGTTCAGCGGAGCCTGAGGAATAAGAGGCCTAAAAATATTGCAGCCCATCTTGCCAAATGATCTGTTTTTTTGTTTTTGTTTTTTTTGTCAACATCCCCATTCAAGGACATCCCAAGCACCTTAACCTTCACAACTGTAGGGATCACCTCGGAGTTATTTTTCTCTTCCCTTGCCCACCCACCACAGGATGGTGTTCATAGGCACCGTATGAATGCAGCCTACATTTTAACAAATCATTTCCTCATGTTTACAGCTCCAAAAGAACAATGCAATTAAGAAAAACAAAAGGAAGCAAAAGTGTCATAAATACAGGCATAGAACAAAATTAATCTCCCCTTTTCTCTGCAAACTAACCTTTCCATTCCGTCCGACTCATATTTTCCCATTTTTTTACCTAGAGAAGAAAAACAAACTTGGTTAATTTTAATATGAACATCCAGGTCAGGAACATAAAATTTAGTGGGAGTAAAAAGGTTGAGATGAAATAGACTAAACATTTCCAAAAAGAACTATGTTCTAAATCCTCGCAAAACGAAATGCTAAAAAATAATAACATCCTGCTATTAAAAACTCAAATTGCATACATATGAATAAAATAGAGCAAAAACAAACATTTAGTACAAAAGACTTTTGTTTACCCATTCCTTTTGCATGTTCTCCATAGATGTATCAAAAGGAAATATGAAAATAACCATGCTCCCCTCTGCACACACATGCCCCAAAGCGGTTTTCACATATTTTCTGTTGCTAATTAAAAACAAAAGTTAAACTTGGCAATATTCTTTTCCCCCTAACAGGGAAGGCAGCAGCGACGGAGGAAAGGAAGACATAGGGTTTTTAAAAAAGAAGTTAAAAGTGATGAAAGATCTGTGAGATTGTGGGAATTCTGCTACTGCTACATTCATCATTATGTTTCAAAAGCAAACAATTCCATTCTGCTCTGCTGTTGGACAGACTAAATTTAAGATAATAATGGGAAGGTCTGTGTACTCTCAGCCCCCATCTACACTGTCATATCCCCATCTACACTGTCATATAATGCAGTTTTATGATACAGTTTAACTGCCTTATATGTGTCTACACTGTCATATAATGCAATTTAGTGCAAACTGCAGTATTAAATTGCATTATATAGCAGTGTAGATAGCTCCTCAGTCTGGCCAGATAGGATATGCATCCCTCCCCTCTCTTCCAATGGAAGGAAACATTCTGTCAATGCTTAGACTAGTAACATTTCTGGCAAGAACTTGAAAGGTTCCTTTAAGAAGAAAGGCTAGAATGACATGCTGAAGTTATCCATAAATGAGCAATTGGAGAATGATGCTCTGTGCCTCAATAGCTTTATCAGTGCCCCTTTAATGCTATATGGTTATGGCACTATGATTCCACTTTAACTGCCCTGACTGCATCCTATAGAATCCTAGGATTTGCAGTCTGGGTTAAGAATTCTAAATGCCTCTCCCTGAACTGCAAATTCCAGGAGTCTACAGAAGATCGCCATCTGTCAGGGGTGCTTAGAATGTGATTTTCCTGCTTCTTGGACTGGATGGCTCATGAGGTCTCTTCCAACTCTATGATTCTATGGCAGCTAGCATGGAATCATTGAGTTGCCATTGTGTAATTGGAATGGGCACCCATCCAGTTATAAATGGTTTCACTCACCTTGACGTAGCTTTTTTACTTTCCTTTTTTCCAGGAAAGTTATTCTAACACAGTTGCTGGCTAATTTCCATCAGAGGCAAAGGAAAGTGTTATCCAGAAGGGACACCTATGTATCCTTTGCATGGATAGACTTAGCTCTGTGCACACAGAAAGACAGGCCTGCAGTATCATATGGCACCTTGTATACCCACCCACTGACTGTAGACTCAGGACTCATTCCTATTGCCAGTACTGAAAAGAACCATTAAACTAGTGGGGTTTACTTATGTGTCAGCTACTCATTCAGCACTTGAAGAAATGGGTCTACTTTGCTTGGAACTAACCTAGCTGATTCTAATTTCAGTGTCATTTTTACATACATATACTACTCACATATTATTATTTTTATTTATTTCATTCACTTATACCCCGCCCTTCTCACCCCGAGGGTGACTCAGGGCGGCTTACATGAAGGGCACAATTAGATGCCCAAATCACAACAACAAGTAATCCAAAGCATATAAAATTCAACAGTTAAATTAAAACAACAATACATAATACAATCACAATCCTAAAACAATCTCATGTCAGAGTCCATATATCAGAGTCCATACATCCGTTCTATTCCGTTTGTCCTCGTCTATCACCAGGTCCTTGATTTAATTATCAGAGTGACCAAAAGCTTGGTCCCACATCCAGGTCTTTAGTTTTTTCCTAAATGCTAGAAGGGAGGTCGCCGATCTGATCTCCCCGGGGAGTGCGTTCCACAGGTGGGGGGCCGCCACTGAGAAGGCCCTGCTCCTCGTCCCCGCCAGCCTCACTTGTGACACTGGCGGGGTCGAGAGCAGGGCCTCCCCAGAAGATCTTAAACTTCGCGGTGGGACGTAGAGGGAGATCCGTTCTGACAAGTACACTGGGCCGGAACCGTATAGGGTTTTATAGGTCAAAACCAGCACATACATGAGCACAAAGAAATACACACATATATTAAACTGATGTTCTGTAATCCTGTGCTAATTAAATCAGAGCAAGAAAGAAAAAGGAGGGTGGGGAGAAGGAAGGATCTCTAGTGGAAAAGAATTCACATCATCTACACAGGTCACTTACTGTGGGACCAATCCAAATTGGCCACCTGTGTCCCATTGTGGTGGCAGAATACAGTCTAGTCTGTCCAGCAGGACCAAACTGGTTTGTCTTTGCTGGGTGACTACCCTTACCTGTGTTGTCTTGTCACCACCATATTGGCAACCACAGAGCTCCTCCAAAGCACTCTAGTCATTCCTGGGGATTTTTGCTGATGTAAGTAAAGGCACCTGTATGGCTCGGGGGGCAGAGGAAAGGAGGGGGTGATCTGCTTCCCTTCTCCAAGTGGTAGAGGAACCTTTTTTGCACTGGCAAAAGCACCCAGAGATAGCCAAGATATCTCTGGGGCTCCACAGCCACCTCTTTGATGGTGATAACATGACACAGGTAGGTACTACCCTAGTTTCCCCACAAGAGTGCAGGGAAAGTAGGATGGAGGCACTGGCCCATGTGAATGGAGGAGCTGGTTCCAAATTAGAACCAGTCCAGCTATTCATACTACCTAAAGTGCAGAGAAGTTCCAATGCATTGCCCATTAAGCAGCTGTGCCCTTCGTTGAGGGCTAGATGGTTCCTGGCATCATGTAAATGTAGTCACAAAATATATGGATCTGAAATTTGGGTATTATGAAAAAGAATAAAATATTAATAATGTTGGCTAGATATAATGACAAAACTATAGAAAATGGAATAAAAGAGTTTAAAATTTTTCTTCGTGGTCTCTGCGAATGCACACTTGTGGAGACACTGCGCCTGCGCAGGCTCCAACGGAAACTTCTACAGTTTAAACTTTTCAAGTTTTGGCGGTAACCCTGCCCAGCCCCGGCAGGGGATAAAAGGGCGCCCTGTGCATACCCTCGCAATTCCTTTTTTTCCGCCGCACGGCTCACTTCGATTCTTCTAGATATGTCAACAACTAGATTCAAAAGATGCTCAAATTGTCCGAGAAAAATTCCTGATTCGGACAAGCACGCTCTTTGTCTGTTGTGTCTCGGCAAGGCACACATTACCTCTTCGTGTCGTCACTGTCAAGCGCTGACGGCACAATCCCGTAAAAATCGGGTTCATCGGCTTCGATACCTCTTGTACCAGCAGACGTTAGCCCCGGTACCATCAACATCGACACCGGCGTCGACGTCAACTTCGGTATCCAAGCCATCGACATCAGCATCGGCCAAGGCGTCTCGGCCGTCGACGTCGAAGGAGGCATCGACTTCGAAATCTGTCGATCCCTCGACCCAGGCCGAGCCTCGCCAAACAAGGGCAAGAAAGGCCGCACAGAAAGGACCGAGGTCAGTTATGTCGACAGCTTCTAAGGCCTCGGTGTCGACAGCTTCTAAGGCCACGAGGCCGACGAAGCAGAAGGAACCATGCACGGTAACAACCGAGACTGTGCGCATCCGGCACTCCTCAGCCAGCTCGGTGGCGTCAGTGAGGTCGATTAGGTCCATGAGGTCGACATCGGCGACTCCACCATCTTCCACGGCGGTTCGCATTGCTTTTCGCCGAGCTCAAGAGGAATCTCGGCGTGCTTCCACCTCATCCTCTGTCCTGCCCACCCCGGGCAAGTCTCTGTCGAAGACGGCACAGCCACCGGCGAAGAAGAAGAAGACGATGCCGCCTCCATCCTCGTCTTCTTCTTCCTCCCGAAGACCGACCACTGCCTCCTCGGTCACCTCATCTGCGAGGTCATCGCCGTTGCAGCCTGCTCAGCCAGCCGATTTCCCAGCCTGCTCAGGAGTTGCGTCGGTCGCCAGAACCGCCTATCGAGCAACCTGATTCCCCTGTGATTTCAGTGGACACGGTGATCGAGGCACCAGTTCGTCTTGTGACTGCCAGACAGGAGCTTTTCCCATCTGTGACAGCCAGACAGGAGACCTTGACAACTGTGACGGCAAGACAGGAGACTTCTCCGGTGACGGAGACTCCGGAAAGAGGCAGACAGACTATGAGACTGGCTCGTGCCATTCAGGCCTCAGCATCCAAAGGCCCTCCAACCGTTTTGCCACAACAACCAGTTCGGGATGTTTCCTCGTCCCCTCCTCCCCAGTCCATTGCTGCCGAGGAGGAAGAGGAAGATGGCGAGTTGCCGGGATCGGTACACTCGGGATCGGTTCTGTCTCTCGGGATCGAGAGATCACCTACCCATGATGCGTACGAGGTCGATCCACCATCCCCTACAGACAATGTCCAGTGCAGATCAAATGGCTCATATGGCTGACGCCTTGGGCTTGGAGGTCAAGCAGACTTTCAAGGCAGTTCAGGACCCAGTTTTTAAGAGGGTGCAGTCAGAATCTCCACCTGCTCCTCTTTTACCCTTCCTTCCCTATCTCCTCGAGGTCATCCAAGGTTCTTGGAAAACCCCTTCCTCCATCCCTCCTACATCCAAGAAGATAGAGGCATGGTACAGAACAGACGATGAGGGCTTGGAGTGGCTCAAACATCACCCCGATCCCAACTCGGTGGTGGTTAAAGCGGCTCAGGCGTTCGGGAGGCAATCGTCAACGCCGTCTGATCGAGAGGGGAAGAGGTTCGACGCAGTCGGCAGAAAGCTTTACTCTGGCGCCCTCTTGTTAGCTCGGATGGCTAACTATGGCGCGTGCATGGGCGCTTACCAACAGATACTTTGGGGAAAAGTGGCACCGTTTTTCCAAAGAATGTCTGAGGAGGA